CAGAGGTTGACTGTTGTGGATGTTGTTGTTGTCCAGTGTGTAGGATTAGGTGGCATCTAGCAGTGAGGCTGCAGAAAACCAACTAAATAGCAAGCATTTTGGAGAACTATTGTAACCTTTAAGTAAGATAAAATAAAGTGATAGGCCCTTTTTATAGCGAGAGTTTGGTTTGTCCATTGTGAGCTACTGCAGAAAAATGGCGGTAGAGAACCCACTTCCCATGTAGATATGAATGGCTCATTATAAGCTAACAAAAATGCAACACTTTTCACTTTCAAGTGGCCATACACTAATGAAAAGCTAGTTTTGAATATTATATTACATTTCTGCAATATATCCCGCTTAATCCAGCATACGTAGGTCCTTTAAATAGTGGCAGTTGATGAAAATTAGACCAAACCAAATTCAACGTTAATTAAACTAATGTTGAGATGCACATAAATGTTTCTACCAAATATTGTGCCAATCCATGCAGTACATTTTGAAGTGTTACACTAGACTAGATACATGAGACGAGGCATGACTAAATAAGAAGGGTTCAATCTCTAAAGACCAGAACTATCTGTGCTAAATGTCATGGCAAATAAACCAATACTTATTACCATATTAAAGTTGAAATATTTCACTATGGACCAAATTGGATCAGGTTTAAATCAGTGGTTAAAGTAAATGCTGGCTACTAAAAAGTGTGATTCTGATACTATCACGATACAACTGATGGCTTTGAGGCGCTGACATTCACTCACTGCTGGTATCTCTCCTGGCATCTCCACTATCTTTGATTTCTTGCAGGCATTTCTGAAATAGAGATGGAGCATGCTCACATGAATTTAAACATCTGTTGAATAAATCACACTCAGGCAACAGAGTCACCGCCCAGGGTTTTGGTTGCAGTCGTCTCTTACCTCTGCTGTGATCTTTCCCCATTCATTATGGTGAAGAGAAGCTCATCCAGTGGTACTCCATTGACTCTAATTACATCTTTCCAATCAAAAACCCAGACTGCAATGTTCCAGGCTGTGGATAAAGAAATTAAATGAATTTTTAATCAAGTTTATTTTCTGATGGAAAGTATAGAGAGGATGCCCAGAGACATGAACAACAGGTAGATGAATAACTCTCCTCTTGAATTAAGTACGGTTACTGTGAGGCATTTTGCATTCAGCTCCACAGGGGTCAGAGATGCACGCAGAAATGCAATTTATCAGAGGCTCTTCACTGTAATTTATGCGGTTTCCTGCATCTCTACAGCGCGATAGCACTCAGTTTCTTATTGGCTTTTGTGTCAATGAAATGTGCATTCGCTAACCTAAAACTTTAATTATCTCGTTTTTTTCAATGTAGTTGTAGCAATAAAGATTCTAAGCAAAACGCTGAAAATGTGTATGTAACTTGATATAACAAACCTTCTGTGACATGTGAAGTTGCATTGGATTTAGAATGTGTTTAATAACCTGTACGATTATATCTTATTTGTGCCATAAGTACCCAACACAAATAATTTGTGCACTGATTTATATAATTCACTTATTTATATTAATCTTCCATACGTTTCGTAGTGTACAAAATATAGATTTCCTCTATGTAGTTCTACATAGTATTTGACAAAAATATGTATAGATTCTTGCACATTTGCTGGATTCATTATGCATATATTGTTTGCCTTATTTTAGGTATTTGTCCCCTGTGATGTGAAAACTGTCTTTGGTCATGTAAAGATAAAAACAAAAAGAAGATTTTGAGCCTAGAACTTCTAAAACCTGTCATATTCGCCTTCTTAAAGATTCATAAGGACTGCAGAGGTGTCCACAACCAAGGAATAAATCAGCTGAGAGTATGACAACTGAAAGGATTGTTCTGGAAGTCACAATGTGCTTCAGATCTGCAGCGAGGATAACATCATTCAGAGGACCTTGCTCCTAATCAATATATATATATATATCCCCTCTGGTGTGGACAGAAAAACGGTCAGTGCACATTACTCTTAAATTATGTGTAATTTGCCCTTTAAGATGCACATGTATTTGATCAGTGCACTCAGATGTCATAAACCCGACCCATTAATATGAGCTCTGGCAGGCGAGTCCAATGTGTTCCTGTGATTTATCTGTGGTGGAAAAGGAATAAAAACAAATAGCATATACTATTCCAGCAGTGCATCAGTTATAATTCTCAAACTGGCACCTTATTCTCTTCATTTATAATAGGTACAGAGTTGGATCATTTATCCTCTTCTTGACGGCAACTTTACCTGAATTAAATTTCAGTTGCCATACTTTGATTACATCCTTGCTAAGTACCACCATCTGATTTCGCCATTATGTAAGGTATGAATACAAATGGGCTGGCTGAGAGACAGAGAAAGGGGCAGAAGGAGAGAAGGGACACAGGGAGAGATAACAAATTAAAGGAAAGTCGGTCGGAGAGACAGGGAAAAAAAGCGGCCAGGAACAAAGGGCTGAATTGAGAGCAGCCATCCACTCTGGATGAGCCCCTCTTGACCTTCTTGGTCTGGAGAGTATTGTGGTGGAACACACATCAGTGTTTGAAGCCAGCCTTGCACCACACGCTTGAATAGATCGGGCGGACTGTTGGCACCGAGTGTGTGTGTGGCAAAAAATCAAGCTTCTTAAAAAGGAGCATCTTCAGGTTTTGGCTGAGGCTGACAAAGGCTGGACCTCGGTGTTCCAAGATTCTCTCAGAGCCTGTGGCCTGTCACTCCTCTGCCAAAACTGGAGCTCATTTGTGGAATATGCCATGCCTTCCTATCGGGGCTGAGTGGGATGCAGGTCTCAGCGGAGTGCAGGATCAAAGCATGCACAGGGCCCAAGAGCATGGCTGGGTGTCACCCGGTGATAACCCTCACATCGCCTGCCAGGATGGATTCCACTCATATTTCACAAGCAAGCTCTGGGCCACACTCGTCTCTCAGCTGCACTTCGTATGAAATAATAACCTGTGCTGGATGCTAGGCTGGGTGCACTCTCGCCCTGAAAGACAAGGGCTGTTCTGACAGTGCAGCTGATGAAACAACACTCTGATCTTTAGTCGCTGGCCTGGAAGTTAGAGATGAGTAAAGTTTGTAACCAGTGGTGGAAATGATATGTATTCTTAATGATATGGCAAAATGGCAAAAGTACACTCATCCTTTACTCAAGTAGAAGTACAGATACTCGTGTTACTGACTATACTTCTTTACTCAAGTAAATGTACCCATAATTACCAACAGTTTTAAAGAGTAACTGACCTCACTTTATATAAATAGAACAATAATGTCATTGTTAGCTAATGAATGTTTCGATGCTGAACAACGGCAAAATGACAGTTTTCATTGGTCCCTCTTCTTTAGAGAAGACCAGGAAATGATGGATACACGGATCGTGTTCAAATCAATAGGCACGCAATGACTCTAAATAATAACGATCACACCACCAAACGCAGATTAAAACTAAAGTAACGAGCCTGTTTTGAAAATGTAAGAAGTAGAAAGTAGAGGTATTTGTGTTCAACATGTAAGAAGTAAAAGTAAAGAGTCGTCAGAAAAATAAGTAGTGGAGTAAAGTACTGATACCAGAAAAACGTACTTAAGTACAGTAACAAAGTATTTGTACTCCACTACTTCCCACCTCTGATGATATGTTTCTTATAACTTCAGTACAGTTCATAAAGTGGAAAATGTAGTGCAGGTTGCTGTTTCATGAGCCATCAATCGCATCAAACGATCCTTATCAGCAGTAGTTTGTTCCAAAACTTCAGTGACATGATAACAGATGAGAAAGACCATGAGATGTGGTTTAAAAGACCGGGGGAAAAGCAAGCAAGCAAGTGTAAACATTCCACCCTTCCCCGGATAAATCAAATAAAAAATATTTGCACTCAATGGAAAGCCTTTCAAGAGGAGTTTGCTAAGTAGCCTACGCCATTAAAAGGGCAAAGCATTAAGCTAATTAGAGTGGATTTCATTTCTCCATACCAGCATGCAATATGTTTCCATGTATGTACATCTGTTTAAAAATGAAATATTGGCCGTCTGTCGCGTATCTGCCAACCCACCTGGTTCTGAATAAACAGAGAATGGAAAGCAAGTACAAAGTTGTTTATCTGCCGCTTTCCACTCAACCTAGGCCTACATAAAGGTCAAATTGTATTCGCACCAGCATATATATATATATTGGAGATTAAATCTTCCTCAGATAACACCCGTCAGATCCGTATTGCATTAGTAATTCCACTACTGCTGCTGTTTATATTATTGTTGTTGTGAAATGATAAGTGATGCGGTGTGAGCAGCAGGATTTATGCTGCCTGAAGGTCAGCACTCAGGGGGCGGAGAGCCTTCAACTGTCTCTGGAGCCGGCCAGAGGTTGTTGCTGCAACATCCAGCTCATCTTCAGGGAACAAAAAGTGTCAAATATGTCAAATCTCTGTCAGTGGAGGTCCCCGTGTAGCGCTGGTCTGGAGGATTGGGTGACAGGCTGAAGGACTGAACATCCAGGTTGCGGCTTTTAGGGTTCAACCGTGTTATTCTGGGACTTCATACCTTGATGTGAGTAAGTCTTGACTATCTGTGCATTTCCTGTTATTTTAAGCTTTGTGTTCAACACCTGCCATATAAGGGTGTTCACTTCATCTGAGAACTTATTTTCATTCGGTAAAGGCACAGCACCATCTAGTGTTACTTCTAGAGTCATTTCACAATATGCCTGTTTTTACCTTGACATTTGAAATGATCTGTATGCTTTGCGGTGTTGGGTGAATAATGTCAACTCGTTATTGTGGTTAAATGACTTGTTTAAAATCCCTTAAAATATGTGACGGTTGGGTGTAAAAAGAGCTGCTTCAGCTTTGATCTTGATCCCTTTTCTGAGTCAATGTGCTGATTTTTAGCTAACTGGAAACTCTGAACGTTCTTCCTGAAACAGGCCTCTGAATTATTTTACACAATCAATCAATGTTTATTTATATAGCCCAATATCACAAATGTTACACAAAAAGCAGGACAGGGAATATAACTGCAATAATTTATTTGAGGCTCACTGGATTATGCAAAAACTTGAGACGATATTGCCCTTGAGAAGACAAACATTTACATTATTTTGTAACAGATAAAACATTCATCCAAAAGTTAATTGTTAACAACGTACAGATACATGGAATTGTGGATTAAAACTTAATTGCACTATAATTCTGACCTATCTTTTAAAGATTCGGAATCTGGAAAGATTCCATGCATTTCAAGAATTTAAATGTGCGGAAACCCTGGTGTTGAGAGTATAGCTGGCCCAATATGTAAGTTCTTTCAAGTCCTGCACTGAACAGTCAGACTTAACCGAAATAAAGAAAAGTGTACATCTCAAAATTCCAATAAAATCTTCCCAGCTTTCTACTGCACTGGCAACGATTCTTTTTTTCAAAGAAAAGGTTTTGGTGTTGCCATCTTACCTAAGACAGCCCTACAGAACCTTTTCTTTACAGCAGAAGCACTCTACACAGTCTCATTCTACAGTAATATACTTTAAAGGACCACCTACATTTGAAATGAAAAGAAACTATTGAATGTTAAGCAACAATTTGACAGGATTATCGTCATGAAGTTGGTCTGTGCATTGTGGAAATGACGGTTGTGGTTCAGAAGGACAAGATGGTTCTCTGGATGATGTCGATACATTCGTGCATCTCGTCCTCTTTAATGATGAGAGGGGGGGCCAGGCGGATGATGTCCCCGTGTGTGGGCTTGGCCAGCAGTCCGTTGTCACGAAGGCGTAAGCACACCTCCCAGGCGTTATAGTCTGTGGGAAGTGTTCAAATATGGAAGTCAGATAAAGCAAGCTGCAAATCATTGTTTACACTTCAATTGTCTTACAAAGGACATCGTAGGAATGGCAAGTGTGTAAATAAGTAAAATTCACTTTTAAATATGTTGGGAATCTCACTTTCAAATTTGTATTTTTAAAACAGTTCATCCTAGAGATGGATAGCAAATAGCCCCAGTATAGTCCAGACTCCAATAAAATGTTATCCAAGTCACTAATTCAAATCAACCAAGCCTTCCTTTAAAAAAAAATGACCGAATGACATCACAAATTGTTGTCTTGATGCTGATTTCCAGTACATATAGACAGCAATTTCATACTTGTATACTAGACTCAAACTCTAGTAGTTTAAATTGTGTGGGTTAGGATTGTTACTTTTGGTCTCTTTGATGACGACTGCGTTGAGGAGGCCTTTCCCTCTGACTGTTGTCACGATGTCTTTGGGCAGTTTGCTCAGCTCGCTCCGCAGCAGCTCTCCCATCTTCTGAGAGTTCTCTGCCAGCTTCTCCTCCTCAAGCACCTGCAAAATGAATCATTTCCAAAAATGTAACATGTGTACTTTTCTTCTGATGCTTAATAGTCTATGGAGGTAGCTGGGGCGGCTTTGGCTGAGGAGGTGGAGCAGTTGTCCACCAATCAGTGGATGGTTAGATCCCAAGCCCATCAGTCAACATGTCGAAATGTCAACATGTCAAAGTATCCTTGCGCAAGAGCACTGGGCACTTATCAAAAATAGCTCCCAATGGTGTGTGAATGTGTGAGAATGTTAGTCTCCCTGAGCAGGTTGCAACTTGGACGTCAGCCTGTATGGCACTGGCAGCCTTTGCCTCTGAAGCATGTGAGCAAACAGGTGATTGTTGTACACGTAAAAGTTCCTTTAGCTGTCGCAAAGAGTGGAATAAATGCTGTTCTATTTAACATTTAGCAGTAGAAGCTTTCAACTATTTTAACTTTATGCTATGTTGCATATTATAGTGTAAAGCAGGGGTGGGGAACCTCCGGCCCCCGGGCCGTATACGGCCCGCGAGACCATTTGGTGTAGCCCTCGAGGTAATTTATAAACACACGCAAAAAAGAAAAAAATTAAAGAAATCTAGACCGCAAAATAATTAAACAAGTGAGTGTCTTGTTTTTCCTGGCCAAGGTCAGGGTCCTTGAACACAACACAAGCCTAACGTGTCATCACCATAGACTGTATATATATATATAAAGGTCATCACGTGGTATATGTCTCGTCTGACAGGGGTGTAGTTCTGACGGGGAGCACCAGAACGCAGCTCCGCTCCGGCACTTCCAAAAATTGCAGTACCCATAAGGAGCCTTACACATGCTGCAGTTTCTGCGTGGCTGTGTCTTTAGTTGAAAGCCCAGTGATCTGTTCATCTGTCATACTGATCATACAGTCAATAACTTTGTTGTTATTAGCATCTGGTTAGCTAGCTATGCTAACGAATATAAGAAGCTTTTTCTACAACCAGTGAGGTAAAGGCACATCTTTATATGATCATTATAGTTATCAAAAAACAAGAGAATAAAGTAAACAGGTATAAAATACTATATGACATTAAAAAAAAGTTGTTATTAATAAACAAGAATACAGTTTGAAAGGAGAGTGATTTGTAAAATATCCATAAAGAAAAAGAAATCTGCTTACAGTTGTGTTTCATCTGGGTGTTGAGAGATGTATCCATAGAGCTCCTAATGTTGCTCTCAAAGTGCACCAGATATCAATCTGGTGCACTTTACTTTATGCTTTCAACTTCAACATTTAAAAAAAGATCTTCCCGGGGAGCATGCCCCCGGAACCCCCTAGAGGAGGTTAGGTCCCCCCCCCCCCCACTTAAATCATGTTCACATGGATAGGAGTCTAAACACATTTGCATACATCTTGTGTCCATATCTTTCTGTTTTGGTGGTCATGCCACAACTCTGCACGTGCATGCGTGAGTCATGGCAAGATATCTGGATTAAGAGGTTGCTTTTTCTTTGCACAGCATGAAAGAAAGGTGAAATGAGTGGGCTGTGATTTTAGTATTTTTAAGCAGAGGTCAATAATTTGTACGGCCCTCGGAGGATGTTGAAAACATTGAAATGGCCCTTGAGAGGAAAAAGGTTCCCCACCCCTGGTGTAAAGCAATAGAGGTTGTTTGAGGGTAGACAGGCAAGTACATTTTGGACACTGACCTCTAGTGCAGCCATGGCGACCTGACAGGCCACGGGGTTTCCTCCATATGTGGACCCGTGCTCTCCAGGCTTGATGGTCAGCATGATCTCATCATCACACAGCACAGCCGAAACCTGACGCACACAAACACAGACCAGTTCAATCAAAGGTTAAAGTTACATAACTAATTTGATTCATAATCTTGTCCAAAATAACTGGAATCTGGAGTAATTGCAAAATAAATCTGTAATAGGGATGTTGATAACTTGATAAAGTGCTTACAGGGTAAACTCCTCCAGAAAGAGCTTTGCCCAGGACCACGATATCTGGGCGGACCTCCTCGTGGTCCACAGCTAGGCGCCGGCCAGTCCTCGCCAAGCCCGTCTGCACCTCGTCATCGATCCACAGCACCTGCACAAACATAAGAGGACTTTAGTGGTCATTTTCACAGCAGGTTGCTACAGCGCTCGGTGTCTTGGTGTGACCCGTAGATTCCTTCACTTACAATGTGTAATAATAACTGATGGAGCTAGATCATTTTTTTAACCAGTTTATCTAACTAGGGGAGATTGGGGGAATGAAATTGAAATGTGACATCAAATGAAGTGAAATCAAGACAAAGTAAAGAGATACAATAGTTTTGGGGAATATTACAGTTTTCCCGACTTCAGAGTCAGAAACTATAGTGCCATGAGACCTTTTTTATGTATTGGGATAATTTGGCTCAATTGTTCAGTGTCTATGGGATCCAATAACTTAATCATGATACAATTGGCATTTAGGAATACAAAAACTAATCAAAACAAAGCAAGTAAACCATGGGGGCAAGGCACTTCTTTAGTGACTTTATGTTTATTTGATGTGAACAATGGAATTCTTCAGGTGTATGGATATCATATTTGAAAATGTGTACTGAAATCAAAAACACAAAATAGATTACCCCATGGTTGCAAAAAATGGCAGATCTACTAACGTTCATTAACTGAGCAAAATAAACCTGTGTTATTTTTGGCACAATTGAACTTTGCTGCTCTCAACTTGAATTAAATGACTTAACCGGGTCTCTTCTTGTGAAAACAAGTCACCTGGAACTCTTCTCTACTTAAGTTTGTACAAGATAACAAAATACATAAAGGGCAAAAATGAAGCGCAGACTGCAGTTTGCCCTTAATTAATTTGAGGTTAAGGAGGAGAGTTTGTGCTTCATGTCTTTGAACTCCTAAGAGACATTCATAATTACAAAATATATTTTTTCCATTTTTAGGAAAATACCATGCCCTAAAAGCTGTGCATGTGGTTATTAAACATGCAAAAAACAAACTACAAAACCTTGTTCATAGATTGGTGTGCTGTACAACCTCAGTCCAGGAAGTAGATGGAAGATCTTTTTTGCATTTTCATTATTTTTGTGTGACTCACATTGTATTTGGTGCAAAGTTCTCTGACTGTGGTCAGGTAGCCCTTGTCTGGCACCACCACACCAGCCTCCCCCTGGATGGGCTCCACCATGAACGCAGCAACATTTGGGTCCTGAAGAGCTTTCTGGAGTAAAAAAAAAAAAAAAACTAGTCAGACATTTCTTTCTGTTACCATACAGTAACCCCTTCAATAAATACGAGCCGCTTTAGTCAATCATTAGGGTTCCTATGTTAATATGGAAAAGCAAAAGCTTCTAAGATAATATATGTGTAGAAATATGCAACTGCAAAAGGTGATTGGACCCCTTTGTTTACATAGTGAAGGATTCATGTCTGCTTGTTCTGAGGAAGTTTAAGAATTAAACTTTTTTTTTTACCTTAAAAGTGGACCGCCAAATGTCCACATCAAAGTCTGTTTGCAGGTCTTTGGGAGTGCTACAGAATATATATATAAAAAAAATGCATGCATGTATTTTATGAAGCCTTTTTGTGACTCCAGAGGCAGCTGGGCAATTTCTTAAAAATTCCCTCAAGTGATAATGCTTGGGGCGGATGACTATACATCTGAAAATGAGTTGGAAAGATGCATTGATTAAAATAAGACATTCTCTCTGGGTTATTTTTGTTCCTCCAGGTTAGTCTTAGCCAGGAAAACATTGTGAATGCCGTGCAATAGAATAGAATCGGAGGGATGAAACCCTCTTTAATGGTCACACATGCAGAGCATACAGTGAAATTTGTTCTCTGCTTTGAACCCACCCTAGACCAGGAGTCTAGTACTAGCTATTGTACAGCGCCCGGGGTTGGCTGCAGTTTGGCTGCAGATGTGACATTCCTTCCTGTTGGATCCACCCAGCAGAAACATGAACAGTGAAAATAAGCACACGGAAACATTTGCTGCCTCTAACGTCAGTGTTTCCTCTTTAATGCCAGTAATAAAAGTTAACCACTGATCTTGCAGGTGAACTTTTCTTGTAGTTAATTAGGTACGTTGTTTAAAGAGAGTCCAGAATGTGGTGAGTCTGGTTTGCTGTGGCTGAAACCTCACCCTTTAATTTAAGCGTTTTACAAGGCACTTGGCAGCTGCTTGTGAGAGCCTGAAACTCTCACAGGTCATTCCACCGAACTGACACTGTGTCTAACAATGATATTCAAACAGAAATTAAAGCGACTGTGCGGTATGTAGATTGCATCAAAACCGATACCTCCAGTTCTGGGATGTTGTTGTAAGGGATGATTTCAAAGCCTGGCATGAAGGGACCAAAGCCTTCATAACTGCTGGGGTCTGTAGAGCTGGAGATGGCCGCCATGGTGCGGCCCCAGAAGTTTCCATCTAACAAACACGGAGTAAATGAGATGGAATATTCATCATGCTGCTCTTAGTTTACATTTGTACATAATGTATGACATGTGGTACCTGTTGTCACCTTATCCTGTCTCTGTTGTGAGCATCGGATTAAGGCTGAGTTGGTAATGTATTGTGGTATTATCCTAAATGTAAAGGATCACTGTAAAAATGTTTGTATTTGTATAACATTTAACTCGGTATCTAAATGTACAATGTGATTCAGAGTGTTACCGCGAGGTTGTCAAGAGGTTGACATTTACTTCTGAAAAATATTCTCTGACAGCTTAAGTTTTAGAAGTATTGGACTCCATAACTGTTCCTATAACTAGTCTATTGAGATATATGGGTTACTTACCAGCGAAAACTATTTTGGCCTGGTTTTTGGGAACCCCCTTCACAGTGTAAGCCCACTTGCGGGCAAGCTTGCAGGCCGTCTCACCACCTTCAACCCCTAAATGTAACAACAAATAATAATAATGTCAACACTCATACTGTAATAACCTCTTAAGCTGTGTCATACAATTATCCTTAGGCGTTTCCTGACCGTACCTGTATTCATGGGTAACACTTTGTCATAGCCAAACAAGCCTGTGACATACTCCTCGTAGGCTCCCAGCACATTGTTGTAGAAGGCTCTGGAAGTCAGAGTGAGTTTGGAGGCCTGAGCATTGAGCGCAGCTATGATCTTTGGGTGGCAGTGGCCCTGGTTCACTGCACTGTAAGCACTCAGGAAGTCATAATACCGGTTGCCATCCACATCCCACACATAGATGCCTGGAGTAAAGAAGATCAGGTTGATGATTCATAAGTGATGTTAAGCATGTTGAGATAGATCACCAGAACCTACGGGCAACACAAATGCTGTGCTTTTCTATTAACCATTTTTTTATTTAGTTGTCATACGACGCTCTTGACTCACCCTTCCCCCTCTCTAAGGCCACAGGCAAGGGGTGGTAGTTGTGCGCTCCATACTTGTCCTCTCGTGTGTAGATGTCCTCGGAAGTTAGCTGGCGGTCAAATTTGAGTTTGGATGCGACAGTGGAGGCAGGACGTGTGCCAGAGTGGACACTTCGACTCAGAACGGGGGCGACACGGCTCAGGTTGCGGCTGAGGTGGAGAATCATTCCCTTTGTGGTTGTATGCTGCAAAGTCTATAATAAAAAGCAAGTACAAAAAAAAGAAAAAACTATTTAGATTGCATCAGTGCTGAATTTATGATAACAAATAGAGTTGCTCTGTTCGAAGCAGTACTAGAACAGCAAACAATAATTGATAAACATTTAGTTGATTAATTGGAAACTATGGTAATAATAGCTTATTAAGCAAAGATGAAGCTCTAAAAAAGCGAATAAAAAAACACCTGTATAACCAGACTTTTAAATATACGTGTTAATCCCATCATTGGCAGTGATGCTCTTACCCTGAATTAAACAGCACAAAACAAAGAAGTGCCTCTACAAAAAAAACACCGTTGCTACAAAAACATGGCTTGGCAGATCTGCTGATCAACAAATCTCTTTCATCGTAACACAATAGGGGATGAACATACTTTTGATGGATGTGGGTTGACAAAAGATTAACCTAAAGCAGCACGGCAACTCAACTTGGATGTTCCTGACTTTTCTATTTATTTAAAAACTTTGTTATGGAACTCTAAGACCCAACACACTGGAGAGTACAAGTCAGAGTGATCAAAAACAAATAAATGGTGAATCAGACAGAGTTGTCTTTCTGGTTATTTATTTGAAGCTTCAAATACATAGAGATACAATAAAAATAAAGACACAGGTTCCACAGAGTATATGATAGTCTGCGCCGATATAATAGGAAAGCAAAGCTTATATACAGCAAAGAGTGGGAAGTGCAGAAATCTGTCTTCACACGGTCATATTGTTATTAGACAGTGTGATTTTGTGTGAGTAGCCAAAACAGCTCTGTGGCCTTGAAGCTCTTGGGAATAAACCCACAGTAGAGTAGATAGAAGAAAACAGCACATCTCAGGAAATGAGAAGCATTTGGTTTAAAACATATAAGGATATAATAAAAATGTCCACTACAACTTCCATTCGTGGTTATCTGTTCCCTTGCTTCTGATCATTTATAGAATGCTACTTTCCAAATGTACCAATCTCAGAATGTGGTCTTCATAATGTGTTGGCACTGAGTGCTTGTGAGATTATCACACCATGTTTCACTAATGATTTTGGCATTTAAGTTAGATGGGAACATACATAGGCAAGTTGAATTCCCTGAAGTCAAACCCACTTTTCCAACTGTTACATCATGCAGTGACATAAGTTGCAAAACTGACAAGAAAGGAGTTGAAACATAGCCAATGGCTAACAGTGAGGATGTCTTGGATGGTCAATAACCTTGGAACGTGAATAAATAAGCAGAGCAAACAGACAGCACCTGGCCTGTGCCACAAGGACAGTTTGTAGACTGTCCAGAGTCAGACTCCCCTCTGCTCTTCCGACATGATTGGTTCCTGGGCTGCTGCCTCTTCAACACACCCACACACATTAACGTTACGTAAAAGAGCTATATAAAGACCACGAGTATGAGTTTCTATTAACTGATAGCAGCTCTGCCCAATGTACTATTATATAATATGTTAACATGCAGAATAATCTGAAATTCAACGTGACACCCAACGGCTTTGTGGATAACGAATGTTTCTCTGATAGAAGCTAACCAGACACAGGTGTTTCAAGTCCGTTATTTAGAAACCGAGTAGCTAGCTAACGTTAGCCTTCAATTTCCTGATGCCAGGAATGAAATACCAAGAAAGGTTAGCAGAGAGGAGACATAAATGGAAGTGAAACGGTACCAGAAAGAAGTCAAGCGAAGATAAAACACTCTTGAATCGCGAGTGATGCCTGTGTTGCCCGGTGGATGAAGCAGATGGTTGGTTCCGGACCGGTGCAGATTATGATGTGCCTCTGCCTGGCTCTCTGGCTGCTGACTGGAGACCTGACAACGCTTCGTGCGTCAGAGGACCCGCCCACTATGTTGCAACTTTCCCAACGATTGCATCGATCAATCAAAACTACCCCCCCCCCCCCCCCAACATTTGCAGCAATAATAATCACACTCATCACCAATTAAACCAGTGACACTGTATCGTCCAGTCATTTAAAAATAAATTCACAGCCGCGGTATCAATTATAATAATAATTTTTTTTAAAGTAATTTCACTGCAGCATATTTTAGGGACTCACTGTGTCTGTAAGTATCATAAATACGGATAAATTAATATTAATTGTTACGATATGAGTTCACGTTGTTCATGTCAGCCTGCCTCCCTTCTCGCGCATGCGCCTTTAAGACTGTCATTCTGCAATGGCTAACACGGACTGGCCAGGCTGTGGGAAGAGTTTGAAAGGTGTCATTTTGGACATGTGTGGTGTGTTGTATGACAGTGGGGAAGGCGGGGGGGTTGCCATTACTGGATCAATTGAAGCAGTGAAAAAGTAAGTGACCAGGTAGTGAGTTGTTAGAGATGTTAGCTTCTTGCATCTTGAGAATACCCAAAGAGCAAAGTGCGTACTCGCTGCTTGCTACTAACGTATGGATACTGACACTTCCTTGCAAGAATGTGGCTTTGTGTGCATGCATTAGAAAACCCTGGATGCATATTTAAACAAACAGAGGTGTCTCCCTTTCAGTGTTATTGTTGGCTCAGACTGCGTGTGCTCCATCATCATCATTACGACCTTTTGACTTTCTTTAAAGGCTCAAGGCATCGGACCTGCAGCTGCGCTTCTGCACCAATGAGACCCAGCTCAACAGAGAGGCGTTTGTGGACAAGCTCAAAAGGCTGGGCTTTGACATCTCTGTGTCTGAAGTCTTCTCTCCTGCTCCTGCAGCCGTAGCTGTCCTCAAAGAGAGGGGCTTTCGGCCTCACCTGCTGGTATATGATGGTAATGCTTTAAATTGTTCAAGACTTGTTGCATTTTGTAACCCCCTGTTCAATCCTGCCCTACATGGACATCAATTAATAGTTAATAATAAACTCAATAAAATTGATTTTTTTATCTTCACTTATATTAAACAACATGCATTGTTGTGACTTATTAATGTACAAAGTTCTTACACAACAATGGAAGTCTATGGCACAGAATAATAATATTTTGGCTATTCAGATAATACTTCTTGGTTTTGGTCTTCCCATTAGGTGTGTTGCCTATATCAAATTTACAATTTCAGCAGACGTATCCTCATCCCCTTTGAATGACCCAACCCTAAAAAGTATTTATGTTTACTCCTCTTCAGGACTTCTCCCAGAGTTTGACAGTGTTGATAAAACCAACCCAAACTGCGTGGTGATTGGAGACGCAGCTGAAAAGTTTACCTACCAGAACTTGAACGAGGCATTCAGGGTCCTTATAGGCCTGGAGAAGCCAGTGCTGTTCTCCTTGGGCGGAGGGTAAGATAATATAAAATAGTCATTGCTATATTACCTATATTTCAACATGAAATAAAAAATGTCAAAATACTTTTGATGTTACGCTCTTCCTAGGAGGTACTACAAGGAGGGAGATGGTTTAGCACTAGATGTCGGGGCGTATATGAAGGCTCTGGAGGTACAGTAGGTGCATCATTTGTTTTAATGTATTCATTAAGAAGAGCAGTTTGGCACGTGTAAACAATGACTTGTTGTTGTTAACTTTTTGTTCCTTTTAGTATGCCTGTGATTTAAAGGCGGAAGTAGTTGGAAAGCCTTCACCAACATTTTTCCAGAGTGTTCTCAATGACATGGGGCTTCAACCGCATGAGGTACGTAACACAAATGGGATTGAACACATTTTTTAAAACCTCAATCTGATAGTTAGCATGATTTATTTAGCCACCAGCAGCTTGAACACTGGTACTCATACTGGAATTACAGAACAAAGCCAAGACACTGCCTGTTTGGTTGAGCACTCACTTTTTCCTCAGCAGGTGTCTGAACATGTGTTTTTGTGTCTGGCACTGTGTGGCACTTATCAGTATCACAAGTATAAAGTATGTGCTGCAGTCTCTCTAAACATATCTCTGTTTGGCCCTGGCAGTTACATTAGCACTCTTTGCTAATCTCAGTTTAAGCCTCACCCTTTTCTCTGGGTTTCTTGTCTTTCACTGCTACATCTGCTGCTCTGTTCAAAGCCTTCTGTTGTTCACACTGGCTTTCATGCAGAGATGGTGGAGCATGTTTTTTCCTAAAATACAAATTCCTTGTTTGTTGAGCACCCACCTTAAACATTTTTATAAACTGAACCGTATCTCATTACAGAAGAAAGGACCAAACCTTTCGAGAAGTTCTATTCCTCTCACATTTCAATCTTTTCTTTTCTTGTTAACTTTCACAATTTATTTCAGAATGATCTTTTTACTAATAGTGCGAACTCACGCTTGTGTGACAACAAGCAACAAGTCGTGGATAGGATTACTGAGAGGTTTATTTACAGAAACACAAAGAGATTGAAGCACATGCTGAACTACATCTGACAAGTACAGATTACCTTATTACCGACTCTTATTTAAATAATTCTAAACTCCTTTAGCAAAACAGCATCCGCACAAAAGCAGCTAATTTTTGTTTTTGTTTTCTTACAGTACTCTCCCTCCTCTCTTGCAGGCACTGATGATCGGGGATGATCTGGTGAACGATGTGGGTGGAGCACAAAACTGTGGAATGAAAGGCCTACAAGTCAGAACTGGCAAATACAGGTGGGTGATGTCCTGAACACACAAATGCTCAAACGACTCCTTTCTTGGTTATATAGCATCACCTAAATCATACTGCATATAATTGTCGCCCAAATTGTATATATTTCTAAGCTAGTTTGACCATATTATAAACAGAATAACAATAAATTCAAGTGATAACCAGGAGAGGGCGCCCTCACACCAGCATAGTGCATCCCACTTTCCTCCACAAAGGCTTCCTGTGAGTGAACCACCTCATTCTTCAGTCGCCCAGAATTGTTTATTTGATTGAGAATCCTCCAAAAATAGCTCTTTTTTTCCACATCTTGAATGTTACTCCCCACAAGGTCATAGTCACCGAAGGATTTATGGTTCCCAATCTGGAGATTACTGGGGCCCTTTCTTATAGTGTAACTACAGAAACATATGGTTGATTATTTTAGAAGCTATATGCGGTGACTGAGAGTAGGAGTAATGGAACATCACATTATATAATATATATGTTTTACATTGTAATGTATGTTATGTAAGTCATGCAGGAACTGGTGTTTTAATGGTGTTTATGTAGGTTACACTACCCAGGATTGAGGTGTTATATGTGTGCTATTATAATATTTATAGTGGTTTTTAATGTATTTATTTTTTAACTCAATATTGTAAAGCAGTAATGTAAAAAGTATTTAGTTACTTTAATAAAAGTATCAACATCAGTTGGAAAAATGTCTTCTTTCTTCTAAAAATGTACAGATTGTAAAACATTTCAAAGTATTAGCATTAAAATGTTATTCGATCTGTTAATCCTCCTTAATGCTACTTACTACTAAAGTGCTTTGTAATTTTAGGAACAATACAATTGATAGCATCATATAACACAATTAGACTTCAAAACTGTTCACTAGGGAACAGAAATGTTTCAAAGAGAACAGAATAAATAAATAAAAGCAGTTTCTTGATTATGTTGCTATTTGTTTGGCTTAAAACCACTGATTACTCTGAAGAGCACCATGCTGGATGACCTGCTCCACTGCTGCGTTCAGGCACGCAGGTCTCGGGTCATGCGACCAGAGAATGCCGAGTAATCTGCCTGAGCATCATTCAGCTCTAATCCTTTACTAAAAGCACAGTCACTCAGTCAGTTTTTTTTGTGTGTATACCATCACGCCAATTTGAGAGGGTGTGGGATGTGTTTCCCTTTCATGTGCCTTTGTATATTTTGCTGCAATATATGTGCAGGATTGTGTAACCTACATACATCTATGTCAGTGTGTGGGTCTTTCAGTCACGACGAGTATACTTAATATCTTCTAACGCAGATTCTCAGCAAACTAGGCAACAAACATGAGGTTTATGTGACTTTGAAATCTTCTCCCAGCAGCTTGGATCAGCTCCAGTGTTCATGCACTCTTAAATAATATCTGATATACTAAACCTAATGCAGGATAAACCACATTAAATTACATCACTACACATTCAGGGTTTTTTTCATGTTTGGAGGACAGGGCTTTCTCTTGCTGAGGAACAAATGCGGAATCTGTATTGTGTTACATGACGTGTTGTGTTTCAGCTGTGGCGGCGGAGATTTATGGACTGATTGGTGAATGGAGTTAGTGTGGTGAAGCACGTGCATACACACCCATATAGAAAGTTACAACTATGAAGTTAACAGTTCAGTCAAATGAGACTGGTGTTTATGAAGCCCAAAGTTCTATTTCCAGGACTGCTAAAAGGTGTTGAAGTTATATCATCAGTTATCACTTCTTGTCAATTGTCTTCAGTGTGTGAGTGAGTATTAACAGAAGGCATAATCCAGCCCATAACAGGAACTAAAATGTATGCATTACATTTGACTTTATGCCTCCGAAGTGAACTGTAATTTATTATATTGACGCCTTGTAATGTCCTAGATCCTTCACCAGACGTATTATACCGTACTGTATACATTCCCAGAGAACAAGAGGAACAACAGTGACAGTAACAGTGTTTCCGTGCAACTGTGATTGAAAGGCAGACGTGAGATTTAACGTTATTTAGCCAAGCAGGACCACTGAACCCAGGCTTGCTGGGAGCAGCTATAAACCCTCAGTCAGATCTGTGAAAACACAGCTGTTTCCAAGTCAACCAGATGCTGCGCAGGCCTCCAGTTCCCATCAAGCTCGGGAAAAAAGGCTTCTTCATATACCCCAGGCAATACAGGAAGGGAAAAATATACAAATCACAGACAAATCTAATCATATCAGCTTATTTTGAAAGCCCTTGACTTGACATACTGTTAGGACTGCATACATTCTGTCAGATGCTTAAACCTCTTTTACACTGGCTGCTTTCTTACTCTCTTATTTAAATGTATAATTTGAGTTTCTTCCTCTAGTGAGATGATACATTTTGTGTGTTCGTCTTTCTATTGTGTGTATTCATTTTGTTAGAAGGAACTTAAAACACTAATTACTACCACGACTATAAATAATAATCTTATCTCTTTTAGGAGAGTTTTATTTAAATGAATGCAGGTTTTCCTAGGGTCTCACATGCAACTGTTTTACTTCATACGATGCAGAGAACATATTTCTGCTTGTTATAATCTTGTGATGGCTCCTGCAGATTAAGTTCAAGAGCAGGGGGGCAACTGAACCGATATTGTAGTGACCGCCAGTAATGGCTGTTGAGAGACTACAGGCGTAATATAGGGGTAATTGTAATAGGGGAGTGTTCTGCTAGCAGTCAATTTTCCCTTGTTCTTAAATAATGAGCCGAAGTTAGCACACTTCCCTCAGGGGAGCCAGGGAACCCTTTGCTCTTTAATGTAGAACAGGTTTTCAAAGAGGGGCCTACTCCAAAAACAATGGCTAGAAATGGGGAGTATGGCGATCTGACTGCTGATGTTGATCAGCTGCATGGGAACAGTCTGCCAACACTGCAACTAATATACCTGATTGTTTCCATTCCACAGAGTATCTAAAGTGTCTCATAGGGAAAATCAGTACCAATCTGCTTTGTTTTGTTTGTGTAATCTTCAAACAGATATTTCATGATTTATATGCATTAAGCTCAAATGTTAAAAGGGCCCTATCATGCTCATTTTAAGGTTCCATACATGTATTTTGTTCCTCTATTGTGACATGCTTTCTAATGTTGAAGAGTGCTTTATTTTTCTCATGCTGCAGCGCCTCTTTTCACCCTCGGTCTAAAACCAGAGCACAGTCTGCTCTGATTGGTTAGCTGGCTGCCTCACTTGTGATTGGTTAACCGCTTAGAGATGCCTATCACATCTATCACTATCAGAGTATCCTATCGCATACAATATGTGGGAGCGCTAGCCAATAGAAAGGCAAGTGTTACGTAGTGATGTCACTACAAAGGACTACAATCCAGGCAACTTTGGGATTTAAGCCTTTGTAGACCATTCTCATGCACAGAAACCTATATAGCACACTGCAGGAAAGGGAAAACCCCAAAAAGCATTATAGGGTCCGTTTTAAGGAAAATCTCTTAATGCATACAATAATTTTGGATTATGTTATTATTTTGTTGAAAAAGTGCAAAATGTGGTGTCAAAGCAGTGTTTATTGGTTTTTCTGGCCACTTGGGGGCAATAGAACAAGCTGTAAGCACCACAGTGACATATCACCATTTAATGTAATGTGTCAAATGTTAGCAAACTGTTGCCTAACACATCTGTGCTTCTTCTTCTTAATGGTCAAACTATTATGACACTAAAAGAGCAGTCAGATGATGAGTATGCTGTCCTTTCCTCTGTCATCTCCTGCGGTCTGTGGCCTCGACTGGTCCTGTGTTTTTGTTTCTGTTCTCTTATCTTCAAGGAACTGCATCGGCACAAAGGCTTTGAAGCTTCATAAAAGCAGGTTCACATCATGCTGTTCCATCATGCTCTATTTGTAGACCAGTTTAATTGCTTCTGCTAGCCGACACAATTAGTTTCTGAGCCTTTTGGTCTTGGCATGCTGTCTGTCTCTTCGTGATAATCAAAGAAGTAGGATTCCAGGCTTTTGATTTAAACGTACACTCTCAGTATTGGCATTTGTTATTCTACCGGGAAGAAAACAGCGTAGTGATGTGTCAGATACTAACACAGTATTGATAGGTATTTTGAATGAGGGCCAGTGAGTTAGAGGAAACCCTTACTGGATTCCCGCTGGAGTCTGGCAGAGAAGGCACAGAAAACATTTTCACACAGCAGCAACTTTCTCCAAAATGGTTTACATTGTAAACCTCTCCCTGTGGCCAACGCTTGACTGCTAATGTGAGTGCTGGGGAAAATGTTTTTCCAAGCAAGCCAGGCCAGATTAAACGTCTCCAGAGAGAGCTAGTCCCCGATGGTACAAACTATGAACCAGTTTACCGAAACCGCACCCTGGTTCGTGCCCTTTCTGTCTGCAGCCATCACTGAGCTATACGCAACAGGAAATGAGCATTGTGGGGGGGCTAGTGGCCATTTGTTTACTATACAGATTTGTTTTTCTTTTGTATGTGTTACAGGCTGTGAGAAGGTTGCACATAAACGAGCTAACGTTAACATATTTGTTAGAGAAGATGCTTAGTAAGTTTTATACTGTATTAATGCCATGTTGTTGGATTGTTATCCACACTTGGGAGTTTTTAATGCATCAACAAATCAAACCAAAGACAAACAAACAGTAGCTTTTTTTAAGCTGGAATGATTGCATTATGTGTAAATATTGGATTGTCTTCAAATATTTCTGCAAAGTGGTTTTGTAGCCATTTTGCCGCTGGTGTGTTGATATGTTATTTTAAATCTGAGTGATATTGTAGCTGTCAGCTCTCTTGCTTGAACTTAAAACTATAAGGTAATGTAATCATGGTCTGAGCGATATGATGTGAACGTGGCCTTAGTATGGTAGCCTTTAATGTAAGAATGTTTGTGTTCATCTTAGAATAGTCTCACAACAAACAGCTCAGCCTGTTGCAAGGTAAATCAATATGTAATGTCAATGTGTGTTATGACTAGTGAACTGTGTAACGTGATATTGTGGTTAGCACACATC